GTAAGTTTTCTGTTGATATTTATTGAAAATAGTGCGGAATTTCATGTTCCTAGCTATATAAATGGAGGAGTTATAACGAAAAATTTTATATCTGAACAATCAGTTGTATGGGAGCTATAGGTTATAGTGACCCGATCTTTGTAATTTTCACTGTAAGTATTCTGTTGATAATGGGTGCAAGTACTGCAAAATTTCATGTTCGTAGCTGCATAAATGGAGAAGTTATAACGAAAAATCTCATATCTGAACAATCTGTTGTATGGGAGCTATATGTTATAGTGGTCCGATTCTGCCGGTTCCGACAAATGATTAATACATTATAAAAATACACCCACCTACCAAATTTGATACGGATATCTCGAAAACTGAGAGACTAGATTGCATACAAACAGACGGACAGACGGACATGGCTAAATCAACTCAGCTCGACGTTCTGATCATATAAGTATACATTTTAATGGGCCTATCTCTTTTTGTTCTGGTACTTACAAACATCGGACCAAAGTTATAATACCATTTCATGCTCATGAAAGGTATAAAAATTAACAAGTATACTTCGTTTTACACCCCTTACATCAGATCCTGGCTACGCCCTTGGTACATACATACATAAATATTTTCGTACATATAAGAGATAACTAATATTAAAATTGTTTACAAAAACAAAATAAAACATCGCTTATGGAAAATATAATTTAAACAAACTGATATGAAATAAATGAAATAATAATATTGAAAATAACTGCGAAAACGCTAAGTTACGAAAATTTTTGTGTTTACCTGCGGCAACACTAAAACCAAAACCGACACGACCGACACTGATGAAGTCAGTAAATGTTTGCACCAGTTTTCTATTAAAAAAATATAAACACAAATCATCAGAAACCTCATGTAAATAATAACCGTAATCTGCTTATACTTCATTTATTAGCTCTTTTGCATAGTTTTGCTCTTTTCGCTTTGTAGATTTATGGATTTTCTTGACACCTTTTAACGGTAATAAACTACATATATTTTACTCATGTGCACTGAAACGTAGCTGCCACCTCACGCCCACTCCCAGTTTGAGATCGTTGCGCTTGCGCAGAAAACCTGTCATCACAACTTAAAACAACGATTTCGGTGTGCATTTATGCACTTGTAAAATGCTTTGTCGCCACTGTTCTATGCAAATGCAAATTCGAATGCAGACAGGTTGTTACAGTTTGCTTTAATGATGACTGTAATTATTTAAATGGCGCTGCCATTTGTTGTCAGTATGGCATTTTATTTATACTTTTTTTTTCTTACCTGTGGAATGAAATTTTTTACGTTACATGCATATACATTCATATGGTCATTAAAAAGTAAATAGACAAATTGCAGACTTTTTGAGTGGAAAAAAGTGTTAAGTTGGTTCAAAGCCATAAAATTAGATTTAGTTAAAAGTACTAGTATTTTACTCACATATCAAATATTCGTCTCATAAACTTTACACTAATATCGAATGTTAAAGGAGGAGATCTTTAGTTCACCATACATACATACATAGGTATATTAAGCATCATGATTTTCCGTCAAAATTCGGTATAGTAACATATGGGTGTTTCCATGATGTCGGACGTGATATTCGTACGAATTTAGAGTTAAATAAACATACAAAAAAAAGTTGCTTATGAAAAAAATGTGCACTTGGAACACTTATTTTTCTTTATTGGCGCTGTATCCGCCTAAGCGGTTTTGACCGGGTCCAAAACATCACGCCAGTCGTTTCTCTTCTGGGCCGACTGACGCTAACTGGAAATGCCAAATGAAGCCAAGTCCTTCTCGATCTAGTTTTTCGAACGCAGTGGAGGCCTTGCTCTTCCTCTGTTACCAACATCGCGACCCGCGTTGAATACTTTCAGAGCGTAGCCATTAAGTAAAGCGCATACAGCTCCATTCGTTATTCGCCATCGCCAACGGGCAAAGGCCTGTAAATCTTTCGCAGAATCTTTCTCACAAAAACTCCAAGAACCGCTTCATCAGAAGTTTTCGTTGTCTATGCCTCCGCATCATACATCAGCTAAGGCACGATGAGTGACTTATAAAGTATGATTTTTGTACGGCGAAAGAGGATTTTAATTCTCAGTCTAAAGTCGCACTTGTTGACAATAATGATTCTGCGTTGGATTTCGATTCTGACATTATTATCGGTGTTAATGCTGGTTCCCAAATAAACGAAGTCGTCTACTTTTCAAACTAGTGTAATTAACGCTAACCCGATAGTGAGAGTGAAATAGAATTTTCACCGTGTATGCTAGTGAAATTTGAAATGCACTAGCGGTTGTGAAATTTACGATTTAGTGCAATTTGTCCAACCCTGACAATTACTGTATCTATTATATTGTTGAACACGTTTTGGACACACAGGGCAAATTATTTGTTCATTAAACTAAAAATGTGCAAAGTTATGTAATATTAAAAATTTGTATAGCCAAATATCGAAGATATATTCATTTCGTTGCGAATGTTTTAATTTTGAAATTTTGTAAAAGAACAAAAGCTTTTGAGGGGCTTTTGTTTTTGAGCGTGTTCAATAAAATAGCTCAGAAATTGAAACGCTTTTGCTTCGTGATTTTGTTTGAATGTGTTGAACTGCGTCATTTTGGAAATGCGAATTTGTAAGGGTAAATGCGTGATTTGGCCTCGCTTTTCAGATTTCTCGCCCAAACTTATCACTCTTTTGCTGGAAGAACGTCATAATAAAAAAAAATCCTTTTGGTTAAGTAAGCAAAGTTTTCAGTTGGTCTTTTATGTAAATTGATTTTCTTGCAACTTCACTAATTAGTTATACAAAAAACTTAAATTAATTTGAATCGCCGTTCGGAGTCGGCGTAAAACTGTAGATCCCTCCGATTTGTGTGACAACATCAAGGCGCACGCCACAAATCGGGGGAGAAGCTCGGCCAAAAAATAAGATATGTGTAAGCGCCAATTAATTACTATTATAATAAGGAAAACCTAACTAAAAGCTTCAAATCCTT